TTCATTTGAACAAACCATCCCGAGAGAAAACATGTCTGTCTTACTTCGTGATAACTTTGGCTATTTACATCTTTTGACTAAATGCCCAGTGCATCAGAGAAAAGTTTTGCTTGCAACAGCCACTCCCGAACAAGTTCATTTAATGTGTGAGGTCTGTCATAATTTATTACAAGGAACAATTCCCATATCAGAAGGGCAAAAGGAAAGATTGAGACCGCACAAGGATGATWTAAGAGAGTTAGCTCATGGATCAATACCATTTAAGGCCAAGAAAAAACATTCTGATTCAAAAAGGCGAGGGCTTGGTGGGGGAGGTCTTGACTCCTCTAATGAGCGCTCTGAGTCTTTTACTGCTGTAAAAAACCAAGCCAAATCCCAAGAACATCATTTTACTAGTAGAGGTCATCATGAAGAGAAGAAGAGTTTCAGAAGAAGAATCTACAGAACCCGAGCTGAGCGAAGATTCCTCTAGCGAGGAGGAGCAATTTTCGAAATCGGATGAGAATGAAATYAATCGAATGGCACGACAGCTCCCTAAAAGCATACCGCGACAAAAGGCACATGATTTACTTCATAGCATGGTAGCATCCAAAGATATTTTGTATTGGAATTCCCATGGAGAAATGACTCATCAACAACGTAGAATTCCACATGAAAGAATTAATCGAGTATGCTTTGTTACCTTACAACCCAGAAGTTAACGCCCCAAAAAGGCTCAAGACTTTTACCAGTGGATTGGCAGAGCTTGATTTGGACAAGAATATTATTCGCAACAAAATACTATTGGCAGATCTGATTGCCAGGCAACCAGAAGATAACTATGATACGGATGTTAGCAATAGTGAAACTGAAAGTGACAAKGATGCTGAAGAATCCCAAGAGGAACATGACAGCGAGGACTCAGAATCGAAGAGTGAGGACGAAGAAGAAGAAGAAGAAGAAGAATAAGAAGAAGAAGAAAGAGAGTGTCACGCTTGTCATGAACCCAAATCGTTTTTAAAGATATCAGTGGCACAATGCCCGAATTGCTGTTGGCACGAAGCGTATCACAGTCCTCAAAACGAATTAGTCGTGTGTGACGTTTGCATACACCCTTTTGTTATCAGTGCCAAAAATACAAAACAAATGTTTTATCGTTGCGAAGACTGTATTTTAATGCATACCCTTTCTTTAAAATCAAATACGCTAAAACCTCTTGTTATGACACAAAATCCTGAAGTGCAAGACGAATGATTCAATTATTTTCTGACGCAGACTCTAATGGCTTCCTATGATTGTAAAAACTTTTTTATAAAGTAGAAAAATCGATTGAGAGCG